TTTTTAAAAAAGAATAATAAAAAGTCTTTTTTTTTTCCTTCAACCAGTGAAAAATAAATATTCTGAGATGAAAGCTGGGCTTCAAGAGAAAAACAAGAGAGGAAACCGAAAGCCCACACTGCTTAGCACTGCAGAAAGCACAACAAAGCCGGCTTTCTTCCGGCATTCAGCAGCTTTCTTATGGAGATGTGGTGTGTCATGGGGGGGCAAGCTCTTCTCCTAAATAAAAGGTCTGAAAACTGTCTTCCCTAAATGCAGATAAAAGCATTTCTTCCAAATTTGGACTCTGGGTACTTAGACCATCGAAGGGAGTGAGGAAGGGGGTGAGGAAGGGGAGAGGTTAAGATGAGGATGAGGTGTCAGGATGTGCTGCTCAGACTCAGGCTTGGGGGTAAACTGCTTCACCTCTCTGTAAAGTTGAGACAGCCTCGCCTGGGTGCAAGCTTGCTGGAAGAGGATGCTCGGGGGAGCCTATGGAGAAAACTGGACCCAGAGCAAGCAAAAGGTGCCAGAGGGTTTGTTTTGGCCCTTGCAGCTGGCGAGGAACCAGGCAGCAGCACCGTCAGATGAAAGGATGCTTCACCCACTACCCCAACGCCAGCAAACTCAGAGGCTTCACCCTCTGAGCCTGCCTGCTGCCCTGCTTCAGGCTCCTTCCACTCTCCCAGCTTTATAATGTGGGTGTTGGACAGAGATCCTGGGAAAGCGGCATCCCCTGCAGTCCCAGGAGCTCGCAGGGGAACAGGAGCCTGGAGCTCACTCCATCCTCCCTGGCTTTTGTGGGGGAGAGGAGGGAAAGCAGTGCTAGAGAAACCCCTGGACTGAAGCTCAGCAAAACCACAGGGCTTGAGTCAACGCTGGCTGCAATTATGGGAACACTTCCTCAGGCTCAGCAGGCAGGGACAGGACCTACGGTTTGTCTTCTCAAAGCAGGGCTTCCCTCAGTGGAGGGCTTCACTCCGTCCTCCCCATTTCAGCTGCTGGAAGGAGCACAGATGGATAAAAGCAAGCACCGGGGAGATGTAGCCACCTCTGAGGTTGGGGAACGCAGCCATGGTTTAACGACGCTCATCAAAACTATGCAAAGCAGTCAGCAAAAAGATGTTTCCACCAAGATGAAGCAACAGCAGAGGTTAGGCTGTGCGACGAGGCCGGTGTGGTTGAGCTCCAGCACCATCCTTAACCCGACACAAGCCCCCCACGCAAAGGCAAACGCTCCTGAATCAGCTTCGAAGCAGCATTGCGACTAAAATCTTGCGCAAGCCTTTTCCAAACCCGACGGCCTGATGGCAGAGCCCAGGGTTAATGAAACCCATGCAAAACCCATGGAGAGGCTGAGCTCACAGGCCAGTGCTCTGGACACAGCCAGACTGGGAGGCTGCAGCCAAGAAGAGGCAGCGAGGAACAACCTCCATGTGCCCAAAGCACGCCTGCTCACAGTCAAAGCCTCTTCTTGCAACGGTCAGGCCCTTACCGCCCTTCACCCTCCTGCTTTCCCAATCGAACATCACTTCCCCTCTGAAGCTAGGATTAGCATCTCACTTTCAGGCGTGTTTGCCTCCGCTCCTTTCCTTAGGAAGGCTGGGAGGACGCTCCCTGCCTCACACAAACCTATGAGACATGCTTCCCCTGTGATAATTCGCCCTAATCCCTGCTAACCACGCTGCTAAAGAGCTCTAATCCCCGTGCGCGGGCACACACACACTAATGGGATGGGGTGGGCTCAGCAAAGCCTGTAATGGACACCCAGCCCCGACTGAAAGGAGGTCAAGCGTAAATACCAAGTCCAGGTCATGCCCGTGTCAGCTGCCCCGCATCAGTGCTCCAGCGTCGGGAGATGCTCCTCTGCAAACCACCGGCTAAAACCCGGCTCCTCACACCCCAAGTCCTACCAGCAAAGCTCAAATTGCTCAACAGCAATGAGAAAAAAAGAAAAAAAAAAAATCCTCCAAAACCCCAGCGATCCCCACCGAACAAACAACCAGATACTCATTTGCTTCTTGGAAGGGTGCCCGAGGTATTCAAATGGCTCACGCCTGGGTCCAGAAGCCTCTTGAAATTCCTCGTTCTCTTCGGGCTGGGCTGGGAGCCCTGCAAGGCCAGCCATGCCGGCTTCACCACCCGGGAGGTTTCCACAGCCTGAGCCCTCCCACGGCAAACTTAGAGCTGGGCTCCGGCACTCCACGGAAGTGGAGCAGTCTGGGTTGTCCACACTCAGCACCTCCCACCATCAGCAAGAGCATCCACTTCTTTCCAGCCAGGTTGAAACCAGGACTTCTGCTGCTATCACCTCAGATCTCTGGCTGACAATGCCATTTCTGGCATCTTCAGTGAAGAAGGGATGCGACCTGAGGATTTGTGCCTAAAGGAGGATGCATCCCAGTACCCTGACATGGATCTACCTCGGGATGCAAAAGCACATACGGGATGCTCCCAAGGTACTACTGTAATCACACCTGACCAGCTCAGATGGGCATTTCTCTATCCAAATTAGTCCTCGATCTCTCCTTCAGATAGTAATCTCCCGCTCCTTCATCATCCAGAGACAGGGACAGACACTTAATGGGGATTCGTCTCCAACGCCTCCGGCTGCTTGCTCCGAGGAAGGATCAGGCTGCCAAACCACGCGTGATAATCTCCCAGAAAAGGGAGAGCAGTGATTTTGCAAGGCCAGTTTGAGGTTAATCGTTGACACATTGTGCGAGGAAGATGCTGTCAGGATTGGAAGTGTGGAAAGGGAAGGCTGAGGTCTCTTGGCAGGGCTGTCCCCTCGCATTAGGGATAAGGGCCAAGGAACCTTCAGTCATCCTGAGGTCTTTCACCACCCCACAGAGATCCCAACCCCTCCAAGTAGGCTCAAACACACCTGAGGAACACGCTGCGCTGACACATTCTGTAAGCAGCCACACATGACCTCACAGCTTGGGATAATTTCATTGCGTATCCACGGCCACGTGAAGTGACTCCACGCCCAGAATGAAAAACGGATTATTTGCGGTGCCCATCACCACAACACAACACACTCCTGACGTAGACAGACTCTACAGAGTCCCTGCTGCTGGGAGCCCACTGGTCCTAAAAATGAGCCTCAATTCTCCTTGCGTCAGGAAGGGATTAGACAGGCAGACCCTCAGCCAAACACCTCCAATCCACCCATCCCAAGGAATTCCCCAACCCTCGCTTGATTTTCAGCCCAAGTCTGATCTTTTTGTGTCTCTGACGTAGTCCTTACCCCCAGGCTGAATCAACGCCACGTCATGCCAGACACGCGGGTACCACATGGCAGGATGCAGTCTGAAGTGCCCTCGAGCTAAGATGATGTTCAACCCCCAGAATATCTCCCTCCACATCAAAGCCACTCTCCTCCACTCACCAGCTCTCTCACTCGTCAACCAAGAATGTTTGCTAAAGATGGAAGGGCTGGACCTGCTGTGGAGACGAGTCAGTCATGTCCACACAATAAAAGTGCCCATCAGTCACGAGTG